GAAAGAAATTGCTGCGACTGGCCGGGGAACTCCCCCTACCCCAGCCGAGGAAGGTGGCACTGGCTGGACTCCTCCTGCCCCATCTGGGGAAGTTGGCGCAGAAGTCAAAGACACAGCAGTCGGAGAAGCAAGGACAACCGGAGACACGTGGGGCGCCGGGGGAGGCTGGGGCACTTCGGGCGAAGCGGAACAAGGGCACGCCGTAGCAGCCGGCCTTCCTCCCGCGGAAGTCGCCATCATCGACCTTTTGGGCAACTCGCGGCACCTGCTGGGGAGGTCCTCCCCTTCCGGATCAGTACGCCCCTGACACACCCGAACCAATGCCAGAAGAGTCAGAGGAAGAAGAGACCTACGAATTCATGGGGGGACCAGCGGAATTACCTGAACCTACCGAGGAGCCAGAGCCGCCGGTACAAGGACCCCAAGAAATTGAAGTCATTGGTGCTGAATACAGTTACTACAGGATCCCCATGTCGGGACTCCCCGCTCGGGACTGGCCCGATCGATGCCTACTTGTCACCGGAGACCAAGCCGAAGCTGGCGATACCGACGACATCATCGGTATTCCCCGTGCGCTTCTGGAGAGAAAAGCAATTCGCGCACTCGCCGCCGAAACGGACAACGCCGCTGACACAGGACCTGAAGGGGAGGCAAACGACGAGGCAGCACGGCAAAAATATTATCAGAAAACAGTCGGCTACCGTGCGGACCCAGCAACATGGCACCAACGGCTTGGACATCCCTCTCACGCCACGCTCAAAAACTCGCTCAAGGCTGGAGTCTTCGATGACGAAGCACTTCTCCTCCCCCGAGACGGTTCCCTCACCGCGGACTCTCCCAATCCGCCGTGCACCGTTTGCCCCACTGCATCCCTCAACCACCAACCATTCCCAGACTTACCACCAGGGTACGAGCGCTACAAACCGCTGGATAAGGTCTACAGCGACTTCATGGTACTCAGCCAAGAAGGGCTCGAAGGGGAGCAGTACACGCTAACCTTCATTGACGCCTCTACGCGTTACGTCTGGGCCATCAACACCGACTCTAGGTCACTGGCCTTCGAGTGCTTCATTGCGTGGATGAAGCGGGCTGAGCGACAGTCTGGGCTAAAGCTAAAGGCCTGGCAGACAGACGGAGCCCTGGAGTTCTTCTCGGACGAGTTCAAAGAGCTCTTCAAGCAGAAGGGGATCGAGCACCTGGTGTCTCTGCCCTACGCCCACCAGCAGCAAGGTGTAGCAGAACGGACAAACAGGAGCCTCGCCACGCGGATGAGGGCTCTGATGAAGCAGTCGGCCATCCCAACCAGATATTGGCCATTTGCGATGAATCACGCTGTTCGGCTGCACAACTTGCTGTCTTCGCGAAGCCTCAAGGACAACAACTCTCCCTACCGGGCTTGGACGGGCAGAAAAGCAGATACACGCCTACTTCGGGTGTTCGGGTGCATGGTACAGTACAGACCCCATACTGCGCGGACGGGAAAATTTGCAGACCGGGCACGATGGGGCATCCATCTCGGAATCGAAAAAGAATTCAAGGCGTGGATCGTACTGGACTACGCGACACACGAGGTGACAAAATCACGTGACTGCATCTTCTACGAGAAGCTGACTCTGCCCCTTTTTAAGGAGCACCAGGAAGCTGACAAACTGCTCGAGAGGCTCTTCGAGGGCCACCGCAGCTTCGCCACGTCACACGACGAAGCTGACCTGGCCGAGGATGCAGACGCACCTGATGTCACCCAGATGGACTCTGCTCCAAACATCCCCCTTACGAGCCAACTCGGAACTCCGACATTCGTGCCCGTACACCAACCCGATCCGGATGATATAACACGCGAAGCTCACAACTACAACAGCGCAACGCGCCGATCACCCGATGCCGAGTTACCACAACCCAACCTGTCGCAAGACACCCTCCGCCTCGGCAACGACAGTGATGACGACGTGGTCGAAGTTACCAGCTCCCACGACTACGACCGTCTTCTCTACGAAAAGACCAACGAAACCGGTCTTCGGGTTCTCGGCCTCGCCGTTGCAGTTCGCCACACCTCGCCCAAGGAACCCACCACCGTCCGCCAAGCCCTGTCTGGCCCCGACAGCGACAAATGGAGAGCAGCCATGGCCGCCGAAATCGCGTCGCTGAAGAAGCGCGGCACCTGGAAGCTGGTTCCACGGTCATCGGCAAAGGGGAGTAAAATTCTCAGCGGCAAATGGGTCTTTCGCATCAAAACTCTCGCCGATGGCTCGATCGACAAGTACAAGGCGCGCTGGGTGGTGCGGGGATTCGAGCAAACTCACCTGGTGGACTTCACCCTCACCTACGCTCCAGTCGGCCGTCACACCTCGGTGCGCATCCTCATCTGCATCGCCGCCGTCAAACAGCGACCGCTCCGGCAAATCGACGTCGGAAGCGCCTTCCTGTACGCTCCCGTCGATGCCATCATCTTCGTCGAACAACCCCACGCATTCGAAGAAAGCGACGGCGCCGTGTGCCTCCTCCAAAAGTCTCTCTACGGAATCAAGCAAGCTCCTCGTCTGTGGCAGCAGTACCTGCATTCCGTCCTCCTTGAGCTCGGCTTCACTCAACTGCCGCACGATCTCGGAATGTACAGGCGGGAGTCAAGCGGAAAGTTCATCCTCCTCGTCGCCTACGTCGACGATCTCCTCTACACCGGGGACGACGCGGAGCTACTCGACCAATTCGAGGCCGACATCAAAACGAAACTTGAAGTCACCGTCAATCACAACGTCACCCAATTCCTCGGCCTCAACGTAACCCAGTCCGCCTCCTCCATTCACCTCTCCGCCGCCAAATACGCCGAAACACTCGCGAAGCGGTTCGCCATCGCTCCCATCAACCTCACTACCCCCTACCGCACTCCTCCTCCTAACCATGAGCCCAACACCACGCCACTCTCTCCTAACGACCATCGTCTCTATCAGCAGCAGCTCGGCTGCCTCCTGTTCGCCGCCGTCACGTGCCGGCCCGATCTCTCCTACGTCGCTAGCCAGCTCGCACAGTATCTGAAGCGACCTGAAGGGGAGAATCTACTGGATCTACGCCGAGCACTGCAATACTTCATCTCCACTCCCGACGTCGGCCTCACCTACGAAGCCAACCTCACCGCTACTCTGCAACTTCATGGCTACGTGGACGCCGATCATGCTGGATATGTTGACAACAGACGCTCCCGTACAGGATTCATTTTCCAACTCCAACGGGCCGGACTCATCTCTTGGAACTCCCAGAAGCAGGAACTCATCGCCCTTTCGTCAGCTGAAGCAGAATTCATCGCAGCTAGCGCAGCTGTTCGCGAAGGTCTGTACCTGATGGAGCTCCTGCAAGAGGCGAAAGTGACGATGAACGGGCATTTCACGTTACTCTGCGACAATCAGAGCGCGATAAAGATCGCGAACAAGCCCGGCTTCGTCAACCGCACCAAGCACATCGGCCTTCGCTACTTCTTCGTGAAGGACGAAATCGACAAGGGGAGAGTCAAGCTGACTTACTGCCCGACCGGTGACATGGCAGCCGACTTCCTGACGAAGAAACTGCCACGTCAGCAGTACCAGCACTGCGCCAACCTCTGTGGGATCACCAAGAAATCCCACGTGGCCCACCTTCTGGAATGAAGGGGAGTGTTGGAATAACCGAAAGGTTATAAAGGCATTCCCGAAGCTGCTCCACTGTACTAGTACCGCATTAGCTCATATAGAGCACGCGGAATCTCGAGGGACACCCGAAGGTCAACCGTCTAAGATAGTCAACGGTCGTGACCCTTGACGATCCAGTAACCACGCGACAGTTAACAGACTGCAACACGGTAACTGTCGAGAATAGCAATAGTCGTGGTTACTGTAGCTATGTAATACAGTTAATAAGGGAATGTACCCCTCAGAGTACATGGCTAGATAGTTTGCTATTTAATTACTTGTATTCCTACTCCTTAATCATCTTGTTCTCTTTCAACTATTACTCAACAAGGTCACTACAGAGACTTCACTGTCTCCTCTCAGGCTTAACACATTCTATCCTATCCACTGATCCTTTGGTTGTATCAGCAGATTGTAAGTGCAATAGAATAAAATGGATGTAAAAAACATTGTATAAACATTGTCTATTATAATCACAAAAAGAGCATCTTTATCCAAATCATTTCCTGTTTATACACAAAACCGTTTCAAGAATAGAGAATTGTATATAATTAATATATTGTATATAATTACTAAATTTCTAAAGCAATATATTAATAACTCTTCCCCATTCTAAATACACAAGACGAACATTAAAAATTCGCTACCCATAAGTAAAATTTCCATCATTTTGTTTCTTTACGACGAATACAACTCTACGCAACCCTTCCGACGTAAACGTCGAGTCATATCTTACTTTCGCTATATAACAATACTCTCATGCCTTCACTAATTGTATTGTTTTTGTTTAGATAGTGCAAATCTCGTTCGATAACTTCATTGCACTCGTGACAATCTGATTGATAAGAAATTCATGTTTTCTTCTATGTATTCTCCGCGTTAGTTAACAAATGTTGTAGTGTACCCCCCTGGCAGAGGGGTCCCATCGCAGGCTCCTAGTAGCGAAGCTGCAAACATTACCCCAGCCAGCCTCCAACCCCCCTGTCTATCACCAATTTCCTGTCCTTTTCCTCCAACAGCTCCCACCCGTCGTTCGCTCCCGCCGCTTCCTCGCGCTCTCGCCGCTCCCATCCTTCATCTCTCCTCGGCCGTCCTTCCCTTCGTCCGTGCCTCTCTCGATCCCATCGCTCCCTCCCGCCGCTCCCGCCGCTCCCGCCGATCCTCGATCCGCTCTTGCCGCTTTCACCGCTCGCTCGCTCCGCTCACGCCGCTCCTGCCACCCCCTCGCTCCGCTCTTCCCGCTCCCGTCCTTCCTCACAAATCGCACGCGTTCCCGTCGCGTTTCCGTTTCAATCACGCAACCAAGGTCCGCTAGCCAAGCCACAGCGCAATCGTCCTCGTGTCATGACCGCGTCGCTCGCTGCCGCCGCCAAGGCAGCGATCCGACCGCGCGCACCGCGGCGGCAGGTGATTCAGCTCACGGACGCGGCGGCCGATCGGATTCGCGAGCTGCTGACGAGGCGCAACAAGGAGTATCTCAAGCTGGGCGTCAAGTCGCGCGGCTGCAGCGGCATGAGCTACACGCTCTCCTACGCCGGTACGCGCCGCGCCGCGCGCTCGCAGACTCAAGGACATGGCTTCTCGTCGAATTCAGGGGAAGCGCGTTAGGGGTCACTTGCGGTGTGGTGCCTTTAACTTAGCCGAGCGATTGAAGACGCTCGCATATTCCTCTCCGTACGTCGTTCCATTTGTGCCTCTGATGACGCGTAAACGCACGCACACACACATCAGATCGTCATTCCGTTTCAGAGGCCATTCCGCTAGTCATGCCTCAATCTCCCATTTTCCGCATCTCATGGTCGGCTTCATTCGCTCTCTGCCCGCCCGTTGCCGTGTGTGTGTGTGCGGTGCGGCGGGGTGCAGACGAGCCGGGGCGGTTTGACGAGGTGGTGGAGGAGAAGGGGGTGCGCGTGGTGGTGGAGCCCAAGGCGCTCATGGCCGTCATCGGCACCACCGTCGACTTCGTACAGGACCGCCTCAAGTGCGTGCCACTCCCATGCCGCTGCTTGCTTGCACCCCTCTCTACCTACCCCTCTCAAGCACCCTCCTTCTCCTCTCCCCTCCGAATTTCTCTGTCCCCTCTCTCCTTCCCTTCTCCTCTCCCATTCCCCCACCTTCCCTCCCCTCCCCACGTTTCTCTTCTCCAACGTTTCCCCCTTCCCTTCCCCCTCTCTGTTCACGTGCACCTCTCATCGTCGTGCTTCACATTCATGGCCTGCTGTGCTGCCCTGCTGCCCTGCGCTTTCCCGTGCCGTCCACCTGCTGCTATGACTCTCGAGATCACTCATTGCCCCCAACCCCCAACCCTCTCCTTACCCTCCACCGATCGTTGTGCAAATGGCATCTTTGTGCTGCGCTGCACTGCGCGCTGGCTGGGGTGGAGGTGTAGGTCGGAGTTTGTGTTTGTGAATCCCAACGCCAAGGGGGAGTGCGGGTGCGGAGAGTCCTTCATGACATGATGCCCGTGCCGTGCCGCCCACACGCATGCACTGAAGCCTCTTCAGGTTAGTCGCCTGCGGGTGTAGGGGAAGGGGGGGGGAGGCAGTGGATAGCATGGGAGGCGGGCACGGAGTGAGGCCTCCTCAGGTCAGCCGCCTGCAGAAGAGAGGGGGTGAAAAAGGGGGGGAGGGGGGGTGTTGTGTTGGCATGTGGGGCCCAGCCCATCCCAGCCCAGCCCAGCCCATCCCAGCCCATCCCAGCCCATCCCAGCCCAGGGGGACTGCAGCGAGTTTTCCATGGCATGACGCCACCGCTGCTTCTCAGGAGCGCGCAGTGAGGCCTCTGAGGTCAGTCACATGTGGGTGAGTATGCACGGGGGGAGGTGCAGGGGACATGGGAGGTGCAGGGGACATGGGGGGTGCAGGGGACATGGGGGGTGCAGGGGACATGGGGGGTGCAGGGGACATGGGGGGTGCAGGGGGGTCGTGGCGAGTCTGGTGCGACAAGGCTGGATTCGTATTTCAGGGTGGGATGAAAGAGGTGCTGGGTGTGGGGTAGAAGGGGGATACGATTGTCAGTATGGCTTGGAGAGGTTTGATTGCCCTTGGTGCCCGTGCCTGTGATTGCTCTTGGTGCCTTTGGTTGCCTGCGGCTGCCGTGGTTGTTAGGGTGTACCTTCACACTAAACTGACTCGAGCATGCGTTGAGCCCACAAGTGCTTGTTGCTAATGGCATGCGTGAGTTGACTCATCATGCATGCCTCGCAATCTCCATGTTCTTGCAATTCCTTCCCTTTTTGCCACAGCAGGCATTGCAGGATCAACTTGTACAGGGGTGGGGTGCACGAGTGCAGTGCAATGAGCAGTGCGCATTGGCAATGCATAAGCAAGGCACAGCGGAGCGGTGCTGGGCTTTAATGCACAGTACAGCTCGTGCTGGAGCTGGTTGTACAGCCACAAGAAGAATAGTCGTTATTGAGTAACCTCAACAGAACTTATTTGAAGCTGGCGGTACGGCCACAGGAAGAAGAATCATCATTATATGCCCGAGTATTTTATGCTCGCTTTGTATAATAGAATCCTTACTTCCAGGAAATGATTCTGCTGTAGGGCAAACAGAAATCACCCAAGCTATGCATTGAATGCAAGTAGAGTTGTATCAGTGTGTGTATACCAAAGAGTGAAGGAAATATCATCATGTTGTTACGGGTACAATGTATCGAGGTAGCAAGGATTGCAGTAAATTGGCAAACGTGTACGGTACAAGTCGTGAGCGAAAGCATGAGCGAACATAGGTATATACAGTAGCGAAAACAAACAAACGGTTACACGGTGCGTGCGAGCTACCGGTAGCTAGTGCGATCCTGGCATCGAGGTTCGGGCTAGTCCCGAAGCGTAGGCCGACTCAGGCCAGGCCAGCGATGCATAGTTTGGTAAGTAGCGGGCGAAGGCGGCGAAACACTGTTAGCAATAACGGGCGTAGAAACGGTTGGTCCTTTATGCGACGTTGAGATGTGCGGTATGTCAAAGTATGCACTTATGTTACCGTATTACCCCGGATTAAAGCGCAGGTGCGCTTATAATAAATCAGTGTTTTTTAGGGGGGTGCGCTTATAATTGAGTAAAAAATATAAGCGCATGCGCTTATATAATGACTAATACAAATTTATATTCTTACTGCACCAGATTGTACATCCCCTTATTGCAATTTTAATCGAAGCGCAATGATAGGGGGTCACAATTCAGAGTCGCACGCGGGCGAATTTCTGCGGGCACACAGGGGCAGTTACACGTCATTGCGCCGGAATTCCAGCTCATAATGACTGGACGCGCAGAATGTAAGGTCCTCGCGAGTCAATCGAACCGAAATTGGTGTGACCTCGCTGCAAATTGGAATTTCGTTACCGTTTCAAGCAAATTCAAATTTTAATATTATACATGCGCTTATAATAAGTCAGGGTTTTACAGGGGGTGCGCTTATAATTGAGGATCGGCCATAAGCGCATTGCTCCAGATAGAAGCGCATGCGCTTATCATAGGCCTGCGCTTTTATCCGGGGCGATACGGTACTGTAGGCTATACTGGAGTACATCATAGAGGGGATAACCCATTATGTACCCTTTATGTTATCTGGCTGTACTTATGTCCTTTATCTCCTTTGTTCCTAGTCATTTCAATCACTGCTCACTAGATTCTGACATGGTTTCAGAGCACGTAGGTCCCAAGGACCGTTTTTTTTAGGGCCCACCGTTCGTTCTACCCTGCTAGTTTCCTGCCGTACCCCTACCGATCGCGACCCGGCTGCCCGCTCGAGCCGCCCTGCCCCACGCGGTCGCACCTGCCCTATCTCGCACGCTGCCCTAGGTGCTACCCGCGCGCGCAGCTGCCCGCTCTGCCTGCGCCTGCGCTGCCCGCGCCCCGCGCTGCCTGCTGCCCGCATGTGCCCTGCAGCCAGTGCGCCCTGCTGCCCGCGTCGCCTGCTGCTCACATCACCTGCTGCCCGCACGCGCCTCTTCTGCCCGCGTCGCCTGCTGCCCGCACGCGCCTCTACTGCCCGCGTCGCCTGCTGCCCGCGTCGCCTGCTGCCCGCGTCGCCTGCTGCCCGCGTCGCCTGCTGCCTGCGTCACTTGCTGCCTGCGAAGATTCACTCAACAACGGGAGCTGGACTACGGGAGGGCATGGGTCTAGGAGTGATTGTAGCTTCCTTAGCATTCTCTATCACTTGTGCGTTCACAGAGCAATTTGACAAGAGTTTCACTAGGGAAAGTGTGACCACGTGTGACCAAGTGTGACCAAGTGTGACCACGTGTGACCAAGTGTGACCACGTGTGACCAAGTGTGAAAATGTGTGACCACGTGTGACCACGTCTGACCAAGTGTGACAACGTGTGACCAAGTGTGACCACGTGTGACCAAGTGTGACCGCATGTGACAAATTGTGACCAAGTGTGACCACGTGTGACCAAGTGTGACCAAGTGTGACCAAGTGTGACCAAGTGTGACCACGTGTGACCACGTGTGACCACGTGTCACCAAGTTTGACCAAGTTTGACCAAGTGTGACCGCGTGTGACCATGTGTGACCACGTGTGACCAAGTGTGACCAAGGTGGTATAGCACAAGGTTCGCCTTGTTGCTAAGGGGTACACTCACAAGCCCGAGAAGGATTTTGATCAGGTATTTGCCCCTGTGGGCAAGCTCACCTAAGGTTGGGTGCTTCTTGCAGAAGCCGCGGTAAAAGGGTGGCATGTACAACAGTTGGATGTTGATCATGCTTACCTCAGTACAGTCCTTCAGGATGAGGTGTATGTGAGGCAGCATGAGGGATTTGATGATGGTACAGGTCGAGTGTATCGCTTGCGCAAAGTTCTCTATGGGCTCAAGCAAGCGCCTCGTGCCTGGATTGTGGAGATTGGTACCACCCTAATTGCTACTGGGTTTGACTGCAGTGCATGCGATGAGGCTCTGTACATCAGGTTTGTGGCTGGATAGCCTGTGTACTTATTGGTGTATGTGGATGACCTCTTGCTTGTGTCTCCACGCTTGGAGCTGATCGGTCAGGTCAAGGAGGTGCTTGCTGAGAGGAACTAGATGAAGGATCTATGTGAGGTATCTACGTACCTTGGTGTGGAGGTTCGTAGGTCGATCAAGGATGGGTGGTTGGAGATTGGCCAGGAGAAGGATGTGCGTGGTCTTCAGGGTGTGAAAAGTCGAACGAGAATTAGGAGCCATAGCTAGGAAAACCCTAGCTAGGCAAGAGAGAGTTTAGGCAAAGAGGAGGTTCACTAGCAGCAATGAGGATACATATAGCAAACCCTAGATGGGTTGTACTCGCTATAGAGCACCCCACTACAGGCTAGATCATAACATTCTGACACAGGGAAGGTTTGTTGATCTGCTGAAGGAGACACTAGGGTGCATACTCCCATGTCACCCAATGATCTCTCTAAGATTAGGAAAGGTACTTGGTCAAGTGAGGATGGTTGTCGCGAGTTTACAAAGCATGAAGGGGAGTGTACATAGTGTACATTTGTACAGGTAGTCGAGAGAACACATACTGAGGACAGGGACCGAGGCTCGGGGGATGGCTGGGCGATGTTGGGCTGCCGAGTCAGCATGGGTGGAGCGGGGAAGGGTGACAACTAGTTGGAGCTTTTGCTTTGTGTGAAGCATGCATGTTTCGTTTCCTTGCAGGTTGGATGCCCGAGCCAGCTGGAGTTACAGGCACGAGCTGGAGGTCAAGCGGAGGGGCGGCTAAGTGGCAGATGCAAGAGGATGAGAAGGCTGACCTTTCGCTTCGGTGGGAGGTCATCACCTTCAAGGGGACTTAGCGGTGTAGCAATAGGGGGAAGGTGCAAGCATGGATATAGGGGGTACGGGCAATTGACTCTGCATTGTTTGTATGTTCTGTATAACTCATGTGATTGCTGGAGATCTGTGCAACCGTGAGCGTCAGGCCATAACAAACGAGTAAGGATGGATAGTGCAACGTAGGCGGGTGTGAGTAAGCTGAGAGGCTTATCAGGGGATATTGAGAATCAGAAGCACTGAGGGTGATAAGGAGCACATATCAAACAAAAAGGAGGGAGGCGATACCGCAGGGATGAGAGAAGCATCATGCAATGAGCAAGGGGTAGGACTTCAGGGATGGTGAAGTTACCACTGAGCAAGGGAGAGCAGAAGGAAGGGGATGTGAGAGAGGCCCTAAGGTGGAAAGGGGTAAGGGAATTTCCGACATGGTGCTGCAGCTGAAATCAAGGTGTACCAGAGTCTGATTGGCAGCTTGAGATATGCTGCTCTGACTATCCGTCCTGTTATGTCCTTCACTGTCAACACCCTTGCACAGTCATGCATGGCACCAAGGCACATTCACGTGTGTGCTGCACTGAGAGCACTCAGGTACTTGGTCGACACAGCTGATCGTGTCATCAGGTATGAGTGCCAAGGCGGTGAGAAAGTTGTGGGATATACTGACTCAGATTGGGGTGGTGAGACTGATGGCAAGAGTCGCTCTGCCTACAT